TCCTTCCTTCCTTCCCTCCCTCCCTCCCTCCCTCCCTTTCCCTCTCTGCCCTTCTTCCCCTCTCTAATGGCAGATTTTCTATTATATTTGTTATGACACCTAATACTTTCCAAATAAATGTCAAGCTATAGCCAGCCAGCTTATCAAGAATGTCCAAGTGACTTTCCTTAACACTGAAACTTCTTTGATGAGCTCTCTCTTAACTAGCGATTCCAATCACTCTGGTAAATCATCTTGGTCCTCTTTTTCTAAAATGAAGCTGATAACAGCTCATGATGGTGGCTCCATTTGCATATGTCTTGACAATTGGCTTTGGTCTTGGTCTGGTTATTTTAAGTGGTTGGGACCGCTCCTGGGTTACCCTGGCTTTCCAGACTTTTTGCTTTGCAACCCCTTATTTGAACTCAGACCTCTTATTTGACTTAAAATAAGACACAGGAAGGTAGGCAACGCTTTAAGCCTGATGATCCAGTTAGGCAGGAAGTCAGCTTTTGACTTCTCTTTTGCCCGCCCTTCCTTCTTGGCCCTTGATCTTTTTAATCCTTTTTTTCCTAATTAGCTATAATGAGGAAACAAGGAAAGTAGAATGAACTAATTGGTGTGTATTCCAGTAACACAGACATACATACACTCACATATATAAAGACAGAGAGTGAGGGAGTTGGAGGAAGTTGCCACAGTCAGCTAAAGCATTTGGGTCATCAGTGAATTTCCGTGTGCTGTAGTACTCTTGTCCTGTGCCTCATTGGCAATGGGGTTTGCAGACCAGCTAGAGAATACCCAGATCCAACTTCCTCCTGGTTCTTCATCTTAGAAGCTGACACCTTAGAAGAAGGAACGTGTATTCCAATGGCCCATATTACAAGTAAGTGCTCTTTGCCTCCAGGATTTCAGAGTAGGTCTCTTTCTGGCTTCAGATGAAGTGTCTCAAGGGCGATTTCCCTTTTGTTTCTTGGAGGGAAGGAGGGGAAATGCATCATGGAACTATTATTAGATCAGCAGAGAGCTGAAAGCTTGTCTGGTCTAATCTTCTAGAGGGGGAACTTAGATGGATAAATGACTTGCCTAAAAAGCCAAGGTGGGTGCCCCTCAGACCCAGGTCTCCTGACTCAGACTTCACAGCCCTTTTCCTGTTGTCTGATTGAAATTCAGTGTGAGTTTGAATACTAGTGAGTCAAGATGCTGGAGATGCTGCTTACCTTCTCTCCATCTAAAAGAGTTGGGTCATAGGCTTCTTTGATAAGTTGATGAGGACCATAGAGCCTCTTCCCAGATGCGCAGAGACAGGTTTGCATACAATTTCAGGGGGGACACAGACTGCCACCTCCTGCCCGTTTTGCCCATAAGCCCATCCATGGATCCCATGTTAAGATCCCCCCAGCCCAAGCTGTCAGTAGTCCATGGCTTGGAGAATAGATGAGCTGCCTATTTTGTGAGCTCCTTGTTATAGCCAGTGGCTTTTTGGTCTGATGGTGATGGGGTTCCTTATCTATGCCTGGGACTTTGCAAAGAATATCATCCATGCCAGGCTAAACCACCTTCTGGAAAGTGCAAGCCAAGAGGTGGAGGGGGGGTTAAGTTGGGTGCCTATGGAACTTGGCTGCATGTTAGCTTTTCAGTTATAGCTCTTACCTTGCAAAGCTGGTGGTCTGGTCCTCAGAATGAGGCACTGGGCCCAAGCTGCATCCCCCGACCTGTGCCTTTTGCCCTGAAATGCCCATGACAGTTTCTTATAAATGCGATGTGTTCTGAGCAAGGGAGATTGGAAACAGAAAAGAAACTTAAGACACTGTATCAGCCCCCTTCTCAGACCAGAGACTCTGGCCTGGCCAGTATTTATGTTTGCAGCCATCTGTCTTCTACTAGAATAATAAGGAGAAGAATAATAATGATTCTTTTCATCAAGCTCCTTTCTGCTTCAAGGCTCAAAGCCTCAAGTATATTATTATTTCATTATCAAAATTGCCCATTATTGTGTATCCATGTTGATCTGTTACATTAGTTCCTTTTTTCCTCCTTTACCACCCCTCCCCTTTTACCCAGTTCTTTTTCTCTGTTAGATGGTTCCCCTGAATGTTCCTAACTCTCAGACTGAGTGGAAGAGGTTAGTAATGATTTTTTCATTACTGGGGTGACTACTCCCCATCCACAATCATTATTTCAATGTTCTTGGGATGTAACTGCCACTGGCACACCTTGTACCCATGTGGGCTTCTGGGAAAACTTTGCTGTCACCAATGCAGATCGGCTCTCACTCTGCTGATTGGCATATTGAAACATGCTAATTGACCTAAAAAAGTTATTTCTGTGAGTGGCAAGTTGAGCTATTTTAAAAAGTTACAGTTTGGGGTTTTGGACCTGAACTACGGACAGAACGTCCCTTTGCTTTTTTTTTTTTGCATTTTTGAGAGTTTCTTTTTGAAACAGAAAAATCGTACATTACAAATACAAGACATTTTAGGACAATTTTGAGGTTTTTTTTTTAAAGTAATGTGACCGATAAGTTAATGTAATTTTTAGCTATCTGATTTCTTTTTCTTATTTAAGCTCAAAGAAGTAAAACTATAATTCCCTTTGCTTTCTTAATAGTACTTAAAATAGAAAAAGGTTGTTTTCAAAAGAGGCCTTAGCTTTCTGAAGAATTGATTTGGGCAAAATTGCGCCTCAACCTTCTACAAAGAACAGCGTGTTTCTGATCAGATGAATGCCAAGTATGCAGGGATGCGGAAGGTGTTGAGAAGGCCTGGGCTTCCACCAAATTCTAGGGACTACCCTAGAATATGTCTAATTGCTGCCTGTACTTCAAGATTAACCTTTGAGGGTCTTACATCCTCCATGAATAGAGCCCAGCCATACCAGTCAGTCCAGATTTTTATTGAGCACTTTTCTGTGTTAAGTATTGTGCCGTATGCTGCAGGAGATGCAAAAGCAACCAGAATACATTCCTGGCCTTCAGGGAACTTGCAGTTCAGTTAGAAAGATGAGGCATAAGTGCCTGAGAGTTGATGGCAACGTTAGAGTCAAAATGGTGAAAAAGGAAAATTGCAAGGCAATTCAGGCTCAGTCGCTAAATTGCAGTTGTTCCGATCTCTAAGAAAATGGGAAGAGGATTAACATGAGCAGCATTTTTTGAGCCCCTACCACGTGCCAGGCAATTTATGGATGTTCTTATTTAATTCTCACAAGAACCCGATTTTACCTGTGAGGAAACTGAAGTTCAAAGAAGCTAAATGACTTGCTCAGGGTTACACGGTTTGTAGGTACTAAAGCTAAACCCGAGGACTTTGCACTCTAATGCATTGTCTCCTGGAGAGGTCGTTGGATGCAGTGGTCCAGAAGGGCTTCATGGAGAAATAAAGCCTGAACCAAGCCTTGAAGCGCTATTAGAATGTGCGTGCAAATTGCAGAGGAAGGAGGTAGTTCAACCAAAGGGATGCCGGGGCCAGAGGCATGGAGGTAGGAACCAGTAAACTCCTCATTGAGAGTCTGAAGAGCAGGATGGAGAGTCATGAACTCCAGTTCATATATATAGACTTTGCCCCTTATTTGCCAATCACCAGAAGACATTCTGTGACACTGCTTCTGTCACATCTTCTAGCCCTTGTAGTGTTTAGATTTTATGTGTATTTCTTATCTTTTCCACCA